AGGAAAGGATTTCTGTAGTAAATTCTCATCTAAAGCCAGCATCCAGTCCTTGCCAAGCTCTGAAGAGTTTCTTCTGTCGCCATGATGGGTCTCTGCTTCCTTGGGAGAGAAGGAGAGAAAGTCTGGTCTTTCTCTCTTACATCGCATCCCTGTTTGTTTCTCAACAGAATTCCTCTGAAGTGTCTCAGAAGTGAGAGTGACAGCATGCACTTCCTCTTCAGGACACAGACAGGCTCTCATGAGAACTGTGGGGCTGAGGAATACCTTTGTCCTCAGCAACTTCAGACCTGGCCGCTTAGTAACTTCCCTTTTATCCCAGTAGCTTTTCTAGAGAAATCTGAAAACATACTCACATGACTACAGGACAAACCGCAGTCAGGAGCTCGAAGCAGAAGCTTCCTTAGGTGGGAATGAGGCTGCAGGGTGTGCCCACAGGCAGGCTTGTGTGGGGACCCCAACCCCCAACACACACACACACACACACACACACACACACACACACACAATGTGAAGCTTCTCCCATGTAGTAGGAGTGCCTCCCCACCCACCCATACCAGCCACCCTGTGCAGTATTGGTCAGGCCTCAACCTCCCCAGGGCAATATGGGACTCCATTTCTGTTCTTGGAAGCCCAGTGACAATACCATCCTCTTGACTTGGAAAAATTTTACATAATATGCCACCAGACTTAGGACTCAGGCAGCCTTTCCAGACAGAGGAGTTCCTGGGACTTCAGCATACCTGGCGTGGAATGACACTTTTTCTCTTTCCCTGGACCCTAAATATACCTCTAGCCCTGCAGTTTCCTTCTAAACACCCTCTTTCTCCCTTGCCTTTCTCCCCAAGTCTTTATTGTTCACACAAGTCCAGAATTATTTTCCTTCAATAAGCATTACTTAATGTATCAATTTGGGAAATATTTCTTTCCTCAACAGAGACACTCATTCATCCATATTATATTCACAACAACAAGGAGATACATCAGTGGATGAAGGGATCCTTTAAATGTGGTATATATGCACGGCGGAATACCATACAACAGGAAAGAATATAATATATATTCTCATATATATATGAGTTGGGTAGTCTAACAGTCTAGGAGGCCAAGAGAGGGTAATATTGGATGACAAGGAAGGATGAGGGGAGTGCTGGCTATGTTTCCATTAAGTTTACACAAGCTAAAGTCACCAGAGAGGAGGGAACCTCAAATGAGAAAATGCCTCCTTGATATCAACCTGTCAGCAAACCTGTGGGGCATTTTCTTGATTGATGATTGATAGGGGAGAGTCTAGCTCTCTGTGTGTTGTGCCAGATTCTGGAAGGTTCCTTCTATTGGTTTCTGAGCATTTCGGTTCTACATTCACATGCTTTCAAGAGAGCGCAAACACCTCCAATTTGCTCCATAGACATTCCCCATAGTGAGTTGTGTGAGTGGTCCACCCCAACACCACAGGTTGAGTGGCAGGGACACTGTCTCACAAATCCACATCAGCCATAGTGACTTCCATGCAGAGTGCTGTGCAACTCTCAGAGATAGATCTGTTTTCAACCCCTGAAGAAGCTTAAAGCAAAACAGTCTTCCTGGCACAGAAGCCAGCCTCATTGTTTTCAAGTCGAACACATGTTTTACATCAAGAGGAGGGCTGTGGTCAGGGTAGGGGAGCTGAAGGGAGATTCAAAGGTTCCTCAGTTCTCATAGGTCTCAGCCTCTTCAAAGCTTCATCCCACTCGACAGGAGTGCTTCTGCCCACACTTGGGTGCTGTGGTGCATGCGTGGGGACCAGTCTGTGGGCCAGAGAGCAGATAAGACACAGACAGCAACCGCCCTGCACATACCTTTCCTGCAGGACGGTGGACGTTTCCCTTTGGAGTTCACCAGCTCCCTAAGGCATAGCTGAATGCATGGAGCCTCATGATACCCTGACTATTCACAAGGTCATGTTAAACAGTGCTGATGGGTGCAGATGGACTCAAGCTAGCAGGAGTGGGTAACTTCTACTCAGGATCTTTGCAAGTATCAAGGTCAACAGATGATGGGGACATCTGCCTGTCTGTGAATTGGAGTGTAGCACATATGCCATCACCAGGCTTCAGGATAACACACAGGGACACAGCTAGAAGATGTCAAGATATAACCATTTGTATGATGGTGTTTCTGAAAGAAAGGAGTAGAGGGTGAGGAGAGGAGGGGAGAAGAAATGACAGATAACAGGAGAAACAGGGGAGAGGAATTACCTTTATTTACCTTTTTATTTTTTTAATTTTATTATTTATTTTTATTTTTTATTATTTATTTATTTATTTGGTTTTTTGAGACAGGGTTTCTCTGTGTAGCTTTGGAGCCTATCCTGGCACTCGCTCTGGAGACCAGCCTGGCCTCAAACTCACAGAGATCTGCCTGCCTCCGCCTCCCGAGTGCTGGGATTAAAGGCGTGCGCCACCAACGCCCGGCCATAATTACCTTTTTATTTTCATTTTCCAGAAAAGTTGACAAAATAGTCTGGAAACTCTCTCTATACCTCACATGCAGTTTCCCTGACTAGTATATTTGTCACTATTAATCACAATGTAGATTAAATAAAGTCTATAGTTTATTGGGAGTTCTACAGTTTTGTTTTTGTTTTACCTAAATGTGTCTCTCTTGGTACAGCATCCTGTGTTTAGTTATCGCATCTGACTGATTCTTCTTGGCCATGACAATTTCTCAGATTTTTATTTTTGAAGCTTGTGGCCATTTTGAGAACTATTGTTAGGTGGAGTTTTGTTGTTGTTTTGTTTGTTTGTTTGTTTATTTTTATACAGTTAGGTGATAAAACCAGAGAAGTGAAGTCTCTTCTTCAGCACACTCTATAATACCTGTTATGACACCTGTCTTGATTATGATGGTGTTTGTGGTACCTCTCCACTACAAGACTCCTCCCTCTCTCAGGAAGGAAGTCATCATGCCCAGCCACATTTACAGAGTGGGGAGTTATATTCCACCTATGAGGGTGGAATGCCTATAAGTTATTTGAAATTCTGTTGCAGCCTAAGGGTTTTTCTCTTTTTCCCTCCATTCATTGAATTAGATATGCCCGCTGCATCTGGCTATCTCTCTCAGTGTGTGAAGTCGGGCATGTTAGTTTTGTACTTGAGTTACTTAGACTCTGTACCGCACACTGCTCAAGTTACTCTGTCCCTGGCTGCTGAAAACACCAATGGCTGTTGTGCCCCTGACACATGTTGTTGCTTATTTTTCTAAGCACTCTCTTCCTGGGACACTCAACCGGCTTGTTGTCTGCCTGTCCTCGGGTCAGCCATGGTATTAAGGCTGGTATTGTAAACTAAAATCTGGACATCAGGGGCTGGAGGTGGCTCAGTTGTTAAGAATACTGGTTACTTTTGCAGAGGACTCAGGTTGAATTCATAGCACACACACTACATCTCATGTGTAACTCCAGTTCCAGGGGATCTGACACCCCTTTCTGGACTCTGAGGGTACTGCATGCATGTGCTGCACAGAAGGACATGCAGGCCAAACACCCCCTCACACGTACAGTAAAAAACGAAAACAAACAAAGAATCTGGAAATGAGGTGTATTCTTTGTTCTTGTAATATGATTTTTTCAGCCCCCTCCCTCAGCTGACAGAATAAGAAAATCCATGTGTCTATGTGAACTATCTGAATATTTTGTGTGTACCCACTTGTATCTGTAGGAAGCTAAAGTTGATTCCATGCTGATTTCTCTAACAGTGAGAGGATGCCGTGTGCACGATCCCAGCCTCCTCCTTGTCTGTAACTCTCACTCTAACAGTGAGAGAAGTCTCTCACCCTTCACTGTCCAGTCACTTCCCTGTTAGAATACTGTCAGAATGTACACTCTCAAGGAAAACAATTATTTAAAATTTTATTTTTAAAATTGTATGTATATGGGTGAGTGGCACCTCTGAAAATCATGTTGGAGTTTGATCACCACTGTGAGATAGTGGAAGCTTCATGTAAATGCAGTGTTTACAGGCAGGATCTTTAGAGAATTAGGATGAGAAAGCCATCCGAGTAGTCATCATTGGATCCTGGTTGGCATTATGACAAAGATCAGAAAACACA